TCTTTTTATTATTTTAAAGCCCTCTTATTTTTTTTAATTTTTTAAAGGGGGGAACATAGCTTTTTAGATTTCTCCTGTGTACCATCCATTAAATAACATTTTTTTTTTTTTTTTTTTTTTTTTTTTTTTGTTTTTTAGGGAGTATTATTTGATGATGCTAGGTTTGGAGAATTCAAAATGTAATTCCTCTCCTGAGTTTATAATAAACATTCATTAATTAACTTTGTTGATTAGTTAAGATCTTTTGATGCTTTGTCCTCAGATTCTCTTATTTGAAGAGTTTGCTTCCAATTTTTTGAATTATCTTATGGTCAGAGAGTCCAGTGTTTTAGCATCTTGGGTACATGAATAAGTATTAAGAAATGATTAATAGATGTCTTTGTGTTAACCGTGCATGCCTTATGTCATTGGAATAGTATGTATTAGCCTTGCATGGTTATTGGGTAAAAAGACTTTGTTACTTTCTGGAGTAAGATTTGAAAATTAAGAGATTTGTTAGATAGTGAATATGGTAGGAGAAGCTACACTTATCTTCTTCCATGCCTGTGATTCTGACCTCTTTTTTTTTTTTCAAATTAAAAGTTGAGTTCTAGCCAGGCATGGTGGCTCACACCTTTAGTCCCAGCAGAGGCAGGTGGATCTTTGTGAGTTCGAGGCAAGCCTGGTCTACGTAGTGAGTTCAGGTCAGCTGAGACTACAGGGAGACCCTGTCTCAAAAAGACCAAAAAAAAAAAGTTCAGTTCTAGAGCTGAGCATGTTGTCTTATCCCTGTAATCCCATCATTGGGTAACTGAGGTAGGAAGATCTTGAGTTCAAGATTAACCTGGGCTTCATAGTGAGACTGTCTCAAAACAAAACAAAACAAAACAAAACGGGGGCAACCAGAGGTTCCTGACACCAGTGCTGTGTGTGCCCTTCCCCTCCACTGCACTTCTTTCCACTTAGAAAACTTGTCATTTGTGTGTGTGGAGTGGAGTCCAACTGGAGATTGGTGTTTTGAAAAGATACAAATTACGAGTAATGCCCTATTACTGTTTTCAAACATCTCTGAACTTAAATTTTAGTTGAATACTGAACAGGATTAATAGAAGGAAAATTTTAAAAAATTATGTGTTTGAGTGTATTGCCTCCATATAGGTAGGCACCCATGTTTTGTTTTATTTTATTTTATTTTTTTGGTTTTTTGAGACAGGATCTCCCTGTAGCTCCAGCTGGCCTGGAATTCACTATGTAGACCAGGCTGGCCTCAAACTCACAGAGATCCACCTGCCTCTGCCTCCCCAGTGTAGGGACTTAAGGCGTGTGCCACTACGTCTGGCCTCCAACCCCATTTTAAAAATTTTATTTTTATGTGAGTGTTACTCATTTTATTTTGACACATTGCTGTTAAATAATTTTTTCTTCCATGAATGGTATTTCTTATATATGTATGTAATTCCTCAGGCATGGTGGATCTAGGCTTGTATGCCAACAGTAATGCCGTCTTTTCTCTCATCAGTATCCAGTATTTAAAGAATAACAGTAGAAACTGCTATTTGTTAACTACTTATTAAACATGCTAAGAACTTTGGACATACTATCTTATCAGTACCACAAGAGGACAGTTTTATTGTGCACATAAGGAAAAAAGGCCAAGAGAGATGAAATAGTGTAAATGCTGGAGCTGGGACTCTGACTTCCCTTCCTCTCCACAGTACTTATCCTTAAAAATCTCAGTCCTCAAGCACAAGTAACTTAAAGAAGTTATTTTATAAAAGTCCGGGTTTTTTTTTTTTTTCCCCTCAAAATATTTTATTTTTATTCTATGTGTACGAGTGTATTGCCTGCATGTTTTGAGTGCACCCATGTTGTGCAGTGCCTCGGTGGTCAGAAGAAGGCTTTATATTCCCCTGGAACTGGATGGAGCTAAGGACGGTTTGTAGCTGGGAATCAAACCCGGGTCCTCTGCAAGAGCAGTTAGTGCTCTTAACCGCTGAGCTAACTCTCTAGCCCATAAAAAAAGTCCGTTCTTTTTACAGGGAAGCATAACATCAGTGTCTAGGCACAAAAAGGGACTAAATAAATATAGAGTGATGTTTCTTTATTTGAGCACTAGCTAGTCGAGGAAACAGTCTGCGTGGAAAGAGGAAAAAGTTTATCTTAAAGTTGAAGCTTAGAGAAGGACTTGGAGATCACAGTAATGTCCTTAAGATGGTAAACAGTACTGGAAGCAACTTTTGGTCAAGTGAGGATTGGGAGGGTTTTTTTGTTCAATGCAGGGGAGAGTTAGAACAACAGAAAAATAGCAGTAAACTTTTATAACAGAATCTTAATTTCTAATTGCTTATTTTTTTTCTCGTTTAGCAATAAAATACCTCTAGAAGGGAGTATGCATAGTATTTACTAATAGAAACTGAATGTTCAAGTGAATTGCGTGATCATTTAAACCAGGCAGAATATAATTTTTTGCAGTTACTTGTATGTTCGTGGGTGTGCATGTGTGTGCTCACAAACACATGAAGCTTCTTTTGGGCAAAGAATACTTTTGTACAGTATGTACATATGAAGTCTTTAGACTTCAGAAAGCATTGGTTTCATTAGAAGAAACCAATGCTTGCCTGGCGTGGCGGCGCAAACCTTTAATCCTAGCACTCGGAGGCAGAGGCAGGCTGAGCTCTGTGAGTTCAAGGCCAGCCTGGTCTACATAAGTTAGTTCCAGGTCAGCTGGAGCTACAGGGAGACCCTGTCTCAAAAAAAAAGGGGAAAAAAAAAAAAAAAAAAAAAAGCAAGAAAGTGATTTCTTGTAGTTGTTAGTACTGCTGTACTATTATATCTTTTGGTGTTACTTAGAAGGATTTCCAGTATTTTGCAGTAGGAGTCTTGCTAAGAAGTTGCTACTTAAAATATCACTCTCACAACCTCACTGCTTGTCTGAAGTGCAGCTGTTCTTAGCTGAAGGACTCGTGTTTCCCCTGCCTCCTAGTTAGAAAGTAAGCATAAAAGGAGTCTTAGAATTAGGGTGGTAAATTAAACTAGTTTACCCTTGGGCCTTTTTGGCCCCTTTCATTTCTTGAGAATACTTCCTTTAATTAGTCCCCACCTCCCAATAATGTCATGGTATTGAGACTCGACTAAGGGATTAATCCATTACAAAGTCAGAGCCTTTGGGATTGGTTGTCTCTCATATGCCCCTGACATACCCAGAATAGACTCCATTCATTTCCTGGTCTGTTCTGAATCCAATCAAATTTACTGTCATGATCCTATCACATTGACCTGGAGTTTCTGGGCTGTTTCTAGATTGATTTCCTGCATGGTCTTTAACACCTATTTGCCTGACGTGTAGAAAGATAGTGTTACTGTCCATGTCCTTAAAAACATGGGTTTGGGGGCTGGAGAGATGGCTCAGCGCTTAAGAGCACTGACTGCTTTTGCAGAGGACACGGGTTCAATTCCCAGCACCCACATGGCGGCTACGAACCGTCCTTAACTCCAATTCCAGGGGAATCCAAAACCGTCTTCTGACCTCCGCGGCATTGCAGAACATGGGTGCACTCACATACATGCAAGCAATATACTCATAAACGTAAAAAAAATAATAAATTTTTTTAGAAAAGCATAAAAACCTCACATGGGTTTATGGAAAGGAAAGTACTTGGAGAA